TTTCTTCCTTAGCACTGGATAGTTGCTGTTTTAAGTCTTTATTCTGCTGTTCCAATCTGCCAACATAACTCTGTGCCTTTATTTCTGTTATGGTTGGGGTTTTGACTGGTTCATTTTTCCTTAAATCACAAAAACAATCTATCCTGTTTCTCATAATTCTACCACAATCATTACAATGTGGCAAAGTATTATCATCAAGAGCTTTTTTACACTCAACACAAATATAAGCAATGTCATTGTAATCATTATTGCTTGTATTGTAAGATACTATTTTGTAAGTAGCAGTTAAATTCCTTTCTCTTTCAAAAGGACAAAAATTACAATGCCATTTATCTCCTCTCCTCAGCTTGTTAACTTGATATTCTAATTTCATACTATTTATTCTTTTGTAAAATATAGGCATTGAATTTTTCTTTGGTTATTTCTTTTATTTGGCTAACTTTGTTTTTTACTTTGTTAGTTAGGAGTTTAAATTTGTTTTCTTTACTTGGTAAAACTGGTAATTCTTGAAGTTGCTTGGCTGCTAAATAATTCTGCCATGCCACAGTGTTTTCTAGCAGTTCTATTTTTCTCAAAGCTTTTTCTAAGTTGTCATTTTTTTCCTTGCTTTGCCTTACTCTCCATTGTCTAGCTACTTCAAGAGCCTCTAAATGTCATTCAGATGTTTCCACTTCTAGTTCTAATGCTTCTTCCAACTCTTGATTAATTTGCTGTAACTCAACAACCTTTTTTTCTAGAAGAGCATCCTTTTCTTTTAATTCTTCTTTTTCTTGATAAGTAAAACCAAAAGCTTCTTCATAATTTAATGCTTCATGACCAAAACTTTTAACAATGTTTTCAGGGGTGAATTTGTTGCTAAAAACAACTCTTCCAATTTCAATTCCATTCTTTTCTGGATAACTTACTCAACCATTGTCAACTCAAGTAAATCTTTCTAAGGTTCTTAAACTTGTTCCAGTATATTCTGAACTTTCGGTAAGACTGTGAACTGCATTTCAGATTTTTAGCTTAAAATTTTCTTCTTTTTCAGCTAATTGCTTTTTCAATAATTCTATTTCATTTATTAGTGCTTTATTTGTTTGTTGTTCATTTATAATGTTTACCATGATTTTTTGTTAATTATATTTTTCAATTTTTAATAAATACTTAAATATCTTTCTTTTTATAAAAGCAATTATTAAGTATATAATTATTTTATTAATATAATAATGAAGAATAAAGTTTATTTTTAAATTTTCTATTCATTGACAGCATAAATTGGTTTTGGACAAGTAATATCTTTGAATTTATCTCTAACAAATGGACGAATATTATGATAAAGATATTCTTGTCTTTTGTAGATATGTATTTTTTACGTCTGCAGTGTTTAACTGCAATATGATTTTTATTTTTTTTTATTTTTTTACTTTAATAAAGTTTTTACTTCATATAATAAAACAAAGATCTTATGGATAGTGATGGGAATTTTTAACCCTACACTTAATAACTCCAAGTTATTAATAGTTAATAACCACTTATTAACTGTTGCACTCTGAGTGAGAGTTATTAACCCAAAAGATCCATTTTGTCAATCAATCCCAGTGTATAGAATTCAGCATGTGGAATGTGCTGTGCTAACCAAATTCAGCAGATTTGGAAAAAGTTTATCAAATTTGGTTAGCATGCACACTCTGCACAGTACTAAATTAATTATTAACTTGTTTATCAAATTAATATTTGATTAAACAGTTACCAATAAGAGATCTGCATGTTTGTGTTTTTAACACTTAATAATAGAGTTATTAAGTACTTAATAACTTGGTCATTTTTCAAAATAATTTTTACGCCCATCACTACCTATGGATATAGATGACCATACATATAATTTAGAAAACCGTGCCTTTAGTTATGCTAACACCCGGGATCATATTTCAATGCACCTTAGGTATGATTGTTGGATGACGGGAGAAGCTATTCCGTTGAGGTGACACATTTTCATGTTTATTGGAGAACCCATTGTCATTCTTATTGGAATAAAAACTGTCAATACGGCACTGGATAGGAAATAAAAAAATATAAGTGTGTGGAAACTCAAAATTTTGACGTCATCAAAGAGTAAGATTTACCTTGAAAAAAAAAGCTTCTATTATCAACTTTCGTACAAGGTTAAATTCAGAAAGCTTCTGAGAGAGTTTAATCTTGGAGATTTGAAAATAATGGTAAATACCATCGTACTCCAAGTCCATTATTCCAAAATAGATATATCCTTCTATAATGTTTTATGAGAAGGTGGATTAAAAAAAAATTGAATTGTAGAAAAAATGCAAAAAGCAGACTTATCACAAATATGTACTCCAAAGGACTTTACTCCTGGTTTGTTTCCACGTGAAGAAATAATGTTGTTGATGCCTCCCTGGCAAAGAATAGCTACCTTGTAAAGATTGTAACTGCCAATTTTACTGTTCCTTGTAATTGAGAAATTTTTGGCTTCAACAAAACATGTTTCTTCGTATTTATCTCTTTCTACGATTTGCTACACAATTATATCAGGCTTTCTACCCTGGGAGCATCCGTAATTCGCACAGTGGCTTCTTGAAGTCAAACTTTCAGTGTTTGCCCTATTAAAGACAAGTAAAAATAAAAGAATGATAAGCAAATATCAAAAAACTTCAACAAAATGTTTTCTTACCAAGAAATATCATAATTCGAGTCACGAAATATTTCTTTGAAAGTATCATGTACATAATCATGTACAACAGTATCCTCATTTTTTTGCCTCAAACTCGGATACAAGTGCATCCTTTCGTAGCTTGAAGAAGAGATCAGATGGAAAGTTATTGGAGAGAAACAGCAAGGAAAATAAGATTGGAATTAAAGAAACTTACAATGCACGTGCAACTGCTTGCGTGGTTTCAAACATCTGGAAAATATAAAAAAATTTTACATGTGTCAATTGTAAGTTTAATAATAAAAAAGTGTAAAACTTACATCGGCACTGTAAGATTTACACAATATTACGTCGGCATCGTAAGATTTATGCAAGTTTACGCTAAATTAATTTCCTGATGAACAAACATCTCTCATTATCTAAATAAATGACCTTGTCACGATATTTCCCCCATATATCATAAAACTTAGAACGAAGCTCGTCTATGTCATTTATTTCCTATTTTTATTACAAAAGATATTAGATTATTATATTATCATAAATCTGCACACACCAGACAACGTGACACTATACCCTTTCATATTCATCCATAATTTCTCCAAAGAAACTGGGTGGGACTGGTTGTTTTGGTTAACATACTGAAGCACGCCATTTTCGTTCATCTATATCTAAATACAATGGCTTCTTCATTCTTGTCATGTCAATAAACATAATATGGTGAAGAGACCTGTAATACAAAGATTTTATTAGACAGCCAGATATCCTGGCCTTAATTATAAATGTAAAGTCAACCTATACTTACAAGATTGCCTCAACATCTGATGAAAAATGGAAGGCTTCACCACCTTCTAGTTTATCAATATTATTAATTTGATATTTGTGAAATGCATCTGAAACACTATAACTTTCAATAAACCACTAAAACGAGTAAAACAGATGTAATGGTCAGTGCAAAAAATCTTTTTCTGAAACAGATGCAGATCCAGTGAAAACAGAACGATAAACTTACATCCTTCTGTGAGGAAAGATCACAGAGATCCTGATGTATCTTTATATATGCGTCACGCATCATTTGTTTATTAAATTCCAGATCAGGTTTGATAAGTGATAATTCAGGATTGTTCTCGTTGGTTAACTGCCCTGCAATTACTTCCTTTTCATGAATGATCACTTCTTCCAAATTCGTTATGTTCACATCATTAAGAGACTCTGGATCCTTTATGTTGATCGTATCTTTCTTTTTTCTACTTTCTGATGGATAGGAATCTGATTTTTGTTTCAAAGCTATTGTTCATGTCATAAAGAAAGGTAAATAATACATAATTCAACATATAATGTAGATGAGTTTGAATGTACAGTATTACCAGATTTTATAGTTTCACGTGTAGTGTTAGAAGCGCTTCACTGAAATCATAATGTATGTCTAGCATTTGGTGGATTATATTTTTGGAATTCATATCTGATGCTTTTCCTAATGTTTTCATAACAGTAGAACTATTTTTCCAGAAAGCTTTTACGTTGAACAATTTTGATTCTTTCTAAAGTATAAAAAAAAATGAAAAATTGATTGCTGTGATACTTTCAGACGCATCTGAAGTAAAAGTACACCCGAACACAGAGACGCATCTCTGAGAGGACTCATCCCCAGGAATTAAGACTCATCCTAGTACTTTCAGCATTAATAATGGAGCTATAACAAGACACTTCTCTAGACGCATCCAGAGAATCTCAGACGCATCCCAGTCGTTGCTATAGTCCCGGAATAAAACAAATATAAACAAAAAAATTAAGAAAATTTTCAAACCTCAAATGTTTCCAAACATTGCAATGCCAACTGTCTTATTATTATGGATTCATTGCTGTCATTAGTCTCTATTAATTGAGGATTGATAGAAAGTTTCTCCAAACAAATCTTGTATAACAAATGCTCATCTTGTTTTTCATTGAAATCATTTGCATATACAATACTCCACTGTAGAAATTCTAACAGGTTCCATGATTTGTTCTCTTGAAAGTAAATAAGCCTACATTTCCAACGAGTATTTTCATAGTTAGTCATTGTTTAGTGAAAAACTAAATTTTGGACTTGTAAATTATTCTCTGCAGCATAGTTAAAAATCTTGTGATTGGTTGATCAATATTTTTGTTTCACGTAATTGATAATCCAATAAAAATTAGCCAAATATTTTTAAAATTTTGTTATTTATAAATTTATTAATTCATTAATTTATTAATTTATTTATTTATTAATTTATTAATTCATTAATTTATTAATTTATTTATTTATTAATTTATTAATTTATTAATTCATTAATTTATTAATTTATTTATTTATTAATTTATTAATTTATTAATTTATTAATTTATTAATTTATTAATTATTTTTTTGAATCAAATTAAATTAAAGTTGAACTATATTATGAATTGGAAGTCTGTGAATGTTTGTGAGGTCATAAAATATTTGCTTATTCTCTGCAAAGGCTTTTAGTAGGTGTATAAATAATAAATTAGATCAATTTTATTACATATAATTATAAATTTTTGAAATATATATACCTAATATCCTTTTTTGCAATTGATTATCAATTCCAGGTAGAGATATAATATGGTCTGCATCTTCAAAGTCTGGATTTGTGTTTTGTATATTATTTTCAGAAAATAATTCATTATTTATATCCTCTTCCATGTGCAATCTTTGGTTGTAAGAGCTTGTTAACTCATCAATTGCTTTAGATAAATACATGAAACAATAATGGCACCTTCTGTTAATTATCTCGAAGCAACTTTCATGATAGGCATGACCACAGACTAACACATGACTACTTTCTATTGACCTATTAGTACATTCAATTCTATCACAAAAATTCTCTTGACTTGGTGGCACTGGTGTATGAAAACCAAGTGGTAAGGCTCCAATAGGAAATCCTGATTTAAGATTTTGAAAATAGTAATAGGGCTTTTTTATTCTTTTTCCTTCCATTCTTTCCTCAACTAATCCATTGTTTTCCAAACTTCATCAAAAAAGTCTAACAAGAACAAGGCAGTTTTCTTAACCAAAAAATCTAAATCCTTTTTACTGTATGGATAATTTTGCTTTGGTGAGAAGGCAGCTCCAAGAGAATTCTCATGATGAAAATGGTCTATAAAAAGTGCATCATGTCTCAATGATTTTGCAGTAGATACCTTTGCAGTAGTCTGCCTTCTCAATAGGCTGTGGAAATTTTCCACTGGGTATTCATCAAATATATTTAGGTTGTTCTTGAGTGTGTCAATTACAGGATGTTCTATCTGCATCCAATAATGAATATCTGATAAAAAGGCCAGTGTAATTTTATCATAATTATGACAGTGGAAACGTTTCATTACAGTCCACAAGCGAAATACTGTGCTGACATACTCTTGGAAGTGATTCTGTCGAAAAAGGATATTATATATATCCAAAGTTGCAGGCACCAAATTATCTAATAGATCAAAAAATGTTACATATTGTGGAGTTTTTGAGAATTTGAATTTTTCAACCACAAATCTTCTAACTAATTCCCAGCCTGCATGAGCAAGATACATCAATGTATCTATTCTCCAAGGTTTTGGCTTTGCAGCTAATTTATGTTTCTTGTTAAAAATACTTCTATATAATTGATCAAAAAATGGCCAGAAGGTCAAAAAAACAGATTCTTTTGTATTTAGAGCAAGATGTAGTGGACCAAGGAAAGGAAACAAATGAGTAATTTTTTCTGGAATGCTTGTTTCATTTTCATTTTTTAGTTTTTTAACAATAGCTCGACAAATATATAGTTGGCCAGGAAAATCAGCTGGAATAAATATCACATTATTATACAAGTATACTTGTATTTCAGGTAACCCAATAAATGTTTTTATTGCTTGCAGATAATCATTGGTATTTTTTAAATTCAATTCAATGAGGTCAACTAGTTTTGTCATGGTGAATTTTCTTCTGTATTTTTCATAAACATCTGGATCATATGAATGCACAGTCAAAGATTCTATAAGCTCATTTTCAATCATGTTTATAATACATTGAATAAATTGCCATAGCATTTTTAAGAATTAAAACATTAACACCATTATGATTGTGAATTAGATGATTATTATTTGAATAATATGGAATGGGAGCTACATTTTTATTGTTAAATAAAATTGTTGCCATATGAGCAATTTGTGATATAAAAGTTACACTTGACACACTTGTACTGTGTAAATTATGATAGTCATCAATGTTGACAATTAATAGATTGTGAAAAAATTCCTTAATATAACTCTTGACAGTCAATTCATGTTTCTTTACTATTTTTCTAATTATTATATACTGTTTGATAAGTAGAACCAATTCCCATATTAGCTTATGTGTTTATACCTTATTAGTATAATCATACAAAATTTGAGGTGATGTAAATAAGCGGTGGTATACCATTTTTTAAGTGGGCATTTTTTCAATTTTACAATACTCTTTACATATAAATTGTTGATCATCTTTGTTGTTTTGAATAAGTTTGAAAATAGATTTTTAATTATGCTTAGGACATCTCACCCCATTCAATTATGTATGACAATCCAGGGTCCTACCTCGATTTCCATTACCTAATAATAATGAATGTACAACAACTTTGAACATCCCTCCCTCTCTAATGTAAAGAATAAATTTAAAAAATCTATTATTCTTCTTTTAAAAACATTTATATAATGTCACATGATAAATTATTATTACCAGAAAGGAAGGAATTTGTACTTAAAAAATTTAATGAAATGCACAGCTGTGATAGTTGTGGTGAAGACAGAAAAAATTTTTTTTTTTCATTAGTTGAAAAAGAGGAGGAGCTTTCAGAAGTTGAAAAATTTTTTTGTAAAGAAAAGTTTATTTATGATTTAGAATTAAATAATGCAACGTATAAAGAAGGAAAACCGAAAAAATGTAACAAGTGTAAATTGAAAAAATACTCTGATAGGTTCTGTGAAGGTTGTATTAGTTTACAATTACAGAGTCTTTTCACCGCTTGGACATCTGGAAATGACACAATTGACAACTTTATTAAACAATGTCAAATGAAATTATCTTTACCAAACTACATTTTAGAATGGATACCTTATGAGCAATTTGAAGATGTAGAAAAATTAACTGAAGGTGGATTTAGTTCAATTTATACTGCTGAATGGAAAAGAGGTTATATAATTGGTTATGATGAAAAGGAAAAAAAGTTTAGTTATTTTGGAAAGCAAAAAATAGCATTAAAAAAATTAAATAATTCAAGTAATCCAAACAAAGAATTTTTTGATGAGGTTGGTGGTTTTTATTTAAATCAAAAGTAAATCATAATATTAATTGATTTTATATTTATTTTCAGGCAATTAATTATTGTAAAATTAAATCAGGAATGATTGTTATTTGTCATGGTATAACTAAATTTCCAGATAATGGAAATTATGCAATGGTTTTAAATTATTTACAAGGTGGAAATTTAAGAAAACATTTACATAAAAATCATTTAAATTTAACATTAAAAGATAGAATTACAATCTTTGATTATTTATGTAATGCATTACACCAGATACATCAGAAAGATTTAATCCACTGTGATTTACATAGTGGTAATATACTTGTTCAAGGAGGTAATTGTTATGTTACAGATTTAGGATTATGTGGGCCAGTTGATGAAAAATCATCAGATAAAGTCTATGGAATTGTATCATATGTTGCACCTGAGCTACTTAGGGGTAAAATCAATGCAAAGAACACAAAAGAAACAGATATTTATAGTGTTGGGATGTTAATGTGGGAAATATTTGCAGGACATCCACCATTTGATGATAGAGCTCACAATCATTGTTTGATTTTTGATATATGTGAGGAAGGTTTACGACCACCAATACTACCTGGAATGCCTGATGATTATGTGCAAATGATGCAGAAGTGTTGGGATGAAGATCCATCAAAAAGACCAACTTCCGAAGAGCTTTTGAATTTTGCTGATAATAAATTAAAAGAAGTTCAGAATTATAATAATTATAATAATAGTAATAGTAGTAGTAATTCACTACAAGTACATAAAGCACATCCAAATGCATATCGGAAAAGTAGAATATTAAATGGTGAAATTGCTAAATCAAAAAGCTTAAAAAGTTATATAAGTAACGATAGTTCATTAAATGATCTTGATTGTGACTCTTTTCTCCCAAATGTTGATTTTAAGAAAGGTGAATAAAATTTCATTATTAATTAATTAATTGGAAGTTATTATCCATTAACTATTACCAACAATCTTTTTTATTCCCATTTTTTAATTCATTAATAAATAAACACTAGATTCTAGTAATAATAGTGAAGGAAAAGAAGATATTGAAAAGAATTGATGAAATTAAATTGTTGAATTATCTATCAATGGATGATTTATTGATATCTGCTATAAATTTATTCAATTATATCAATGAAAATTATAAATTTTTAATTCTTGTTTCAGAGAAGAAAATTATTTTTGATATATATATATATATTTTCTTTTTTCTTTATCATTATTTTTAAAGCCACATTTGTAATCGTTGACTTTTTCTTTTAATTCTCTTATTTTATAAAGCCCCATATAACGAATGCAGCATTGTTGAATTCATTGTGGTGGTGGAAACATCATTTGTTGTATGGTATAACATCACTCACATTGGCAATAATTCTTTATTAATAGATCCAACTCATCAATGTTGTAATATTTCTGATAAGATTAAAAGTAAAATATAAAACTCGATTATTGTTTTATTGACCACAACATAAGGTTATATAAAATATGCCTCAAGAACTTTCTTCGTAATATATGCTAACTTTATTTCACCATATGGAATGCAACAAATACAAATTGGTTAAATTTATGCTGGTAGCTCTAGGTACCCTGACTCTTTGAGACAGAATCACTAACGATCTCATCCTTCCTTCCGGGCGTGTTGGTAATTTGAAATTAATTAATTTGCTTCTTGCAAATAACCTTAGCTTGAAGAAAAAAGATAGTTAAATTCCGAAATACTAGTGCTAACGCTACATTCGTTACGAATTAGTGAACTATAACACTTACCTAATTATTAAAGAAGCGAAATTAAAAAAAAAATTTTTCCTTTAATTATTATATTGTAGTGAAGACTTAGATTTATGTTCATGAATAATTATAGAAAAAGTTTGTTGATAATTTATTTTGATGGTAGTTAATACGCGCATTATCTGGGTCATTGTATATATACTTGTATATATGTAATAATGACTGACTGATCTTACAAAATAGGATGGAGGTCCTTTCATGTATCAATTGTTCATGGATGATGACGAAATTCCGAAAAGATTGTTGATTCTAAAACAAGCACATATATATTCTTTAAATAAAAAAAGAAAAATCTAAATTTCCTCATTTCATATTTTATTATTAAAAAAATTTCCAAATGGAAATAATACATTTTTTTATACATAAAAAAAAAAATTATTTTAATCATATCAAGTTAAATTAAATGAATGAATAAATTTTAATCGATAAATATATAAATATCTACGAATAATAATAATAACAATAGACAACACACACACACACACGTATTTAAATGTTCTGCCAGAAATCAAGAATATATTGGCAATCTTCTACTAGAGTAGCTTGTATCACCGCCTAATCTAGTCATAACAAGTCGTCTAGATAAGATTTGATTTGAGGCAAGTATAGGATTATCATAGTCATCGGCATAATAATCATCGTCATCATCTTCGCTATATTGATTTTCTTTTTTACTAGCTTCGAAATCCTTCCAATCATCTTTCTTGCTGGTTCCGTTGGCTCGATTCGACCTAATCAAATTAACCAACCAGTTTGTTGATACCGGACTCTCTTTATCGTCAATAATCATATCGTCGACTGAATCGGTTTTTGAATCAGAATTTATTATTTCTTCTCCGATCTTTATCTGAATTGGCGCAACTTCGAATGGTAACGGCACGTCTTTAATAGCACGGAATTGCCCACAATTATTAACATGCTAAGAATTAAAATATATTTATATATATTTATTATTATATTTATTATCAACCTACTGCACAATAGAAATAAAAAAAAAAGCTTATATACCTCATTTTCAACTCTAAAGAAATTCCATATCCATCTTCTGATAATTTCACCAATTGCAATAAAGAGTGCGACATTTACGTAATCATTGGGAAATATTAAAATAAAAACCCAACTTGATCTCAAAAAGAAATTTACTGCAATTCCAGCATAATAAATCCAATTTTCATTGTAAACTAAATGATCCCTTAATAAATAATTTTCACTTTGTAAACTGAATAGTGACCAATCCATTAGAACATCCCATGAAAATGCATACAATGTTGCGATAGTTTGTGATATGATCCAAGTTGTATAAACAAAATGATTGCCTAAAAATTTATTACAAAAATATATATATTAATATTAATCAGCGTAAAGATGTAAAATCTTAGTTTAGTAACAATAGTCATGACTAAAGTTGATTTAACATACTAACAGTTTAGTAATATTAATGATTCTATTCAATAATAAATCAATTACCTTGTATACGATCAAAATATAAAGCCCATAATGGGATCATAGTAGATAAATATTTCAAAGCATTGATCAAATGAGGAAAGACTTTTCTGGTGTCATGGTAACGTCTTAAACAATGAATCATACGTATGGTAGCAGGGATCATACCAAGTAATGGAACGAATATCGTTAAAGTATCATTACAATCTTCGTTAACTTATATATTTTAAAATTAAAAAGAAATTAGCATAAAACATTAAAGGAAACAATTATTAATTAATCAATTAATTATACTTACATATACACGTTAAGAGTCTCATAGTAGTAAAGGAATACGATAAACTGTTCAAAACATCAGCAATAAAGAAATCGCGAAATTCTACACGATAATAAAAACAAGCAATTTGTCGACCCTAAGAAAATAATAATAATAGACGTTGTTGTTGTTAGTGGATAGTTTTAAAGAATTTATTGGATTTAAAAGAATTA